AAGCGAGACTCTGTCTCAAAAAAAAAAATAAAATAAAATAAAATAAAATAAAATTATACATGTTAAATACAGAAAAGAGAAAATAAATTGTTAATATCATAAATGAAAAAGGAAACAAACAGATCTTATAGGCATCATAAAAAAATGAAAAGATACTGTGAAAACTTTTATACTATAAAATGAAAATTTGCATGAAACTTAAAACATTACTTAAGAAAACATTCCACCAAAATTACAGAAGGGAACTCCCTTTGAACATCACAGTGCAAATAAGTGCAAATTTGAACATCACAGTGCAAATAAAAAAATTAAATCAATAATTACAAACAATTTCACAAAAAAACACCCTTAGTCCTGATGGTAAATGTTTATAAAGTTATAGAAAATAAGTAATACCAATCTTATAGACTCTTTCAGAAAATAAAGAGAAATCACTTTCAAATTATGTTTATATGGCCTTTAAGTACTTGATATCAAAATCTGAAAAAGAAATTATCATGCAAAAGTAAACTTACAAAGCTCTCCTATAAATAAAAAAATTAGAGCTCTGAGACAATATCTTGATTAAAAAACAAGAAACTCTTAGTGATACAGAAATAGAAGGCAATATCCTTAATGAGATGCATACCCTGTATAACAACTTACAGCAAACTTATTTGTAAGTTATTGAAAGTAATTCCTCTGAGATTATGGATAAGGAAAGGATCCCACTATTATCTTTTCTTCATCAATATTTTATTGATTTTCTTAGCCAGTGCAATTAGGAAATGAGTAAGTAGAACAAAATTTAAAATGGAAGAATATAAAACTGTTTGTTTGCAGATTCCCTAATAATATCCTTCAAAGGAATCTACATATATTATAATTAATAAATTTAGCAAATTCGTCAGATATAAGGTCAATATATAAAAATCAGTTGCACTTCTATATACTCAGAGTATTGATAAACAAACAGAAAATATTTTAATGATATTATTTATAATTTTATCATAAAATTCCAAATCCTTTGTATTAATATAAATGATGAACAAGTCCTCTACATTGAAAACTATAAAGCAATCATTGAGATAAATTCAAAAGATCAAAATAAAGAATGGGTTATATGATCATTAGAAGACTCAAGGTGATGAGGGATGTCATTTCTCCCTGAAGGTTGTGTAACTCAACACAACACAGTCCCAAACAAATCCCAGCTGGGTGTGTGAGTCTGTGTTTTGTGGGTAAATTCATGGCTCATCCAAATATCCATGCTGAAATTGCACAGGGTCCAATTATATCTAAGGCTTCTTATCTGCTGAAAAACTGTTAAAAAAAAAAAAAAGAAATAAGGCTTCCCTCATGTAGGAGGAGGAGGAAAAGGGAGAAGAAGGAAAGAGAAGGAAAAAGGAGAAGAGGAGGAAGACAAGGAGGAGATTAAGAAAATTGAAGGACTTACATTATCAGATATTAAGACATATCATAAACCTGCAATTAATTATACAATGTGGTATTAACACAAGGAGAGACAAACTGATGAATGAAAGAGAGAAGCAGCCAGAAATGGATCAACACACACACATTCATACACATATTCATGACACACATCTATATCCATTCACTTGACTTTTTACAAAAGTGGTACTAAGATCTGTCGGGGGAGATGAAATTTTCAAAAATAGTTGCAGATGAAAATGGCAAAGTCAAACAAGACTTTTAGATGGAATTTACAACAATTTATTTGTGACTTTGGAGTAGATAAATATTTCTTAGAAAAAACACAAACATTTATCATCATAAAAGAAAAAAGAAGAATTAGAATATTTAAAAATTTTAAGTTTTTGTTTCTCAAAATACACTAATAAGAGTGAAAAAATACCTTACAGAATGAAGATGAAGATATTTGCAATACCTATATATCTGACAAAGAACTTATTCCCAAAATATATGAAGAATTCCTAAAAATCAGAAAGAAAACTATAGAAAAATCAAATAAAAACCAAACAAAAGACTTTAACAGATACAAATGAGAAAGTAACTAATAAACAAATGGCCACTAAGGACGTTCAACTTCATTAGTCTCTGTGATAATTTTATGTGTCAACTTGGCTAGGCCATACTACCCAAATATTTGTTCAAACACCAGTCTAGACATTGCTATGAAGAGATATTCTAGATGACTTCAACATTTAAGTCACTAGACTTTGAGTACAGCAGATTCCCCTTAATAATGTAGGTGAGCCTCATCCAATCAGTTGAAGGCATTAAGAGCAAAAGATCGAGGTGCCCTGCAGAAGGAGGAATTCCGCTGGCAGACTGCCACGGACTTGACCTGCAACATCAACTCCTTCTTCCAGGAGTAGCCAGCCTGCCGACCTGTCTTGTAGATCTCAGACTCGTCAGCCTCCACAGTCATATGAACCAAATTCTTTAAAAATTCTCTCCCTTTCCACAAACACACGCGCACACACGCTCACCTATCTTACTTATTCTGTCTCTAGGAAACCCTGACTAATACAGTCATGAATATATGAGGTCATAAAATTAAAACTGCAATACGTTAAATCTTCACATGCTCCAGAATGACTATGAAAAATACTAAGTGTTATGAAGTGGAAAAACCAGCCCTTCATGCACTACTGATGAGTGTATAAATTAGTATAACCATTTTGTAAAATTATTTGGCCTCCCAAAGCGGAACATCTACATCAGGGGTCCTCAAACTTTTTAAACAGGGGCCAGTCCACTGTCCCTCAGACCGCTGGAGGGCCGTTGGAGAGTGCGGCGCACAGTCCACACATGTGGGCCCTGGACGAGTCGGCTGCTAAGCAGGACAGGCAGTGGCAGCAAAAACACCCTCCGGGTCTGATAAATGTCCTCGGCAGGCCGCATGTGGCCCATGGGCCGTAGTTCGAGGACCCCTGAATACTTCCCACTCTTGGAACTGGGGGAAATGTCTAAGACATGTAGATTTCCTTCCTTTACTTTCCACCTTCTAACAACTCCCTTCTCAAGATCTTCTTGTCCTGAGAACAATTTCTCTCCTAGGAATACAGCCAACATATATTCTCCAAAGACAGGTAATAAAAAGGTTTATGGAAACGTTATCCCTAATACGCCCCAACTGGAAACTCCTCAAATGCCCATTAACAGAAAAATAAAGTATGATATATTCACAGAATGGAATACTAAAGAGCAATAAGAATAAACAAACCACAGCTACACATAACAATTTGGATAAACCTCACAAACATAATGTTGAACAAAATAGGCCAGACCCACGAGGGTACATACCAAATGATTCACTTACATTAAGTTCAAACACAGGAAAACCCAATAGTTTCTTTTGAGAGTCAAGGTAGAGTGTATCCTTGGGTAGAAGCTGTTACGTAAGAGAGGAGCTTCCAAGATCCTGGGCATGTTCCATGTTCTCTGGGTGCTGGCGACCTACACTGGTGTGCTCTAACTTCCCCTGGTGCTTACCAAGGCAGGAAGGGCCAGCGTGCCCCGCTCCATGCTCAGAGAAACTGAGCCACTAGAAGGACAAGCAAATTTCTCCAGGAACTGGGCTGATCCAAGGGCTCTGGACTCCGGGGAGAGACAGAGCTGCTCTATACAATAATGTGGGCACTGCCTATATGCTGCTATTTTAATTTAAAATGATTCAAATTAAATAAAATTGAAAATGCAGTTCTCAGTCACCCTGGCCACTCTTCAAGTGCTCCACATCCTCATGGGGCTGGTGGCTACGTGTGGGCCACAAGGAGAGCCAGCATTTCCATCCTCACGGAAAGTTCTGCCTGACCGCTGGACGGTGCGGTCTGCAAGGACCTGCGGGAAAGCCAGGACCAACTGAGTCCCTCAAGGCACTGAGTCATCCCGAGCCTCTCACTGGCCACTTAGGGGCCTGCTGGAGGGTCGCAGAGCCCCGCAAGTGGACGTGCCGGGGCTGGCTCTCCGCCAGCAGGAGAATGTCCCGGGGTCCCGCACACCTTCCTGCCATCACTGTGAAGGCGCTCGCTGTGTTTCTGGTCCAAGGACTTTCGCTTCGGACTTCAGCTCTTAGTAAAGTTTTCTTCCCATAAAAAGGATTTCTGGTCTGGAGGAATTAGGGGACACCGTCCTTGGAGACAGCACCTTCCAAAATTCTGAACCCACCCACCCTCATCTCGGACCCAGGAAGGCAGTGCACCCCCCACCCTCATCTCGGACCGAGGAAGGCAGTGCACCCCCCACCCTCATCTCGGACCCAGGAAGGCAGTGCACCCCCACCCTCATCTCTAACTGAGGAAGGCAGTGCACCCCCCACCCTCATCTCTAACTGAGGAAGGCAGTGCACCCCCACCCTCATCTCGGACCGAGGAAGGCAGTGCACCCCCACCCTCATCTCGGACCGAGGAAGGCATGTCATCTCTTGCCTGTCAGTAGCCGCTAAGGCGCTAAGGGTGGCCGGTCTTACCCAGCCAGAGGGACCTCTGCGCCGGGGCTGCCACAGCGCTGGTCCACCGGAGCCCAGGGAAACGGGGACCCCTCACCCTCGCCCGCACGCCATGCGACGCTCAGAGCCAGAACGTTCTCCAGGCAGCCCCGCAGTGGCAGAGCGCCAGGAGCACCCCAGGGCGCCCTCAGTACGCGGTGTCCTCGGCCCTCCCGGGCAATAAGCTTCTCTGAGCTCCTTGCGCACAGGTCGTTCCCGGCTACCAGCCCCGGAAGAGCCGCGAGCGCTGGGGGGAAGGCCGGGGTGGACCAGAGCCCCGCGGAAAACGCGCCTGTCCCCTGCGCCCTCGGCGGGGACGCCGTCGCGGAACCCCACAGCGGGGAGCGCACGGAGTCCGGAGCCCAGGAGGGCACGGTGTGGACACGTCCCGAAAGCGGAAAACTCCCATGGCCGCTCTCTGGCCACGGCTCTCCAGCCTCGCCGTGGCGCCGTGACGCCGTGTCGCCGTGACGCCGTGCGCCGTGACGCCGTGGCGCCGTGACGCCGTGACGCCGTGATGCCGTGACGCCGTGCGGCTGGTTGCTTTCCCACTCCTTGTGAAGCCGGTGGGACAGACCATTCTCCACGGGCGGGGCTCGCGGGCCTCCGGTTCCCAGCCGGCCCGGCACTTGGTCCCCATTTCCCCTGCGACAAAGACCAGATGGAGAGGACACTTGAACTAGCCAGTGAGGGCAGTTGGCAGATCTGCCCGAGTACCCCCGCCCTGCACCCCAAGGCTCGCAGCTCGGCCCGGAGTCCAGGCCCGGCGGGTGCGGAGCCGCCCAGCAGCTGTCCCCAAGACAGCGTCCCGGATCCCCCTGGAATGTGCCCGACTGCTCACTCGAATCTCAGAGGAAGTCCTCCCCTGTCTCCCCCTGCGCTTCCTCTGCACACACAGGGGAGAGTCAGCGCGGAGCCCCGTGGACCAACGTGGGAAACAGAACCGTTCCAAGCCATCTTTGGAGACTCCCTGCACCTCGCAGGACAGACTTTTCTCCAGCCACCTTCAGGAGAGATCTGCTCTGTTCGTCAGACTGCCACATTCCGTGATACCCGCGAGCCTCCAGCCTGCCCGCATCCGCAGCTGAAGAAACGGTGGGGATCGTAAGGCTCATTTGATCAGCTAAAGCTGCGTTCGGGGAGGAGCAGGCGTGTGTGGGTCACCCGAGGCCGGCGCTGAGCACCCACCCTCGCCCTCGCGCGTCTCCCTGGGCTCCCTGCCCCCTCCTCTGCCCAGCCTAGCGCCGCATTCCCTGGGGACGAGGCAGGGATTGAGGGAGAACCTAAGGAGTAGCAGACACCGGGGCTGTGGCAGGTGGACCTGCCCACCTCCACTTCTGCAGTCCCCTGGGCACGGACCCTCCCGCCACCGCCATCTTCCTGGCTGCCTCTTTCCCACTGCTGTCATCTGCCTCTTCTCACCCCGGTCCACTGGGAAACACGCTCAGGGGCTCCTCTTCCTTCCTCACTAAGAAGCATGCACAACCTCTCTGGAGGGTTGTATGTTTTAAACCTCCCAATATTCATGGGGAAAAGTATGCCAAAAAACAAATAAAACAAAAAACAAGCAGAGGAGTGTCAAAAAGCCTCAAGGACATGCTGTCTCGGGTGTCCTTGGCCTGTGCTTCCTCCCCAACCCCACCCCCTTCAGGCCTTCTCCTTGTCCCCCATGTGGGTCCAGGGGACCTGCCCTTCTGCCACATGGTACCAGTGAGGAAGGGCTGGGATTGTCTCAGCAAATGTGGCATGGAAGTGACTGAGCCTGCTGGACAGCCCAAGTCCAAGTCCTCGAGTCATAGGGAGTCTAGCCTGGACACCCATCAGGCACCCCCCATGTCCTAAGAAACTGTCACCAAGCATTGCATCGGTTCAAAGGGAGCTACTAGGCCTCTGATTTTCCAGTACATGGATTTTAACTCCTGTCACTCCATCAGTGGAATATTTCTTTCTGAAAATCTGCTGAGTGCCCTGCACACTGAAATTGAGAAGCACAAGTCAAATAAAGAGGAAGAAATGGGGAAAGCACCTGGTAGGTGGCAGAAGGCCAGCACGCACTGTGTGGCCTGCTGCGTGGCCTTGGGCAAGGCCCTCACCTCCTCTGGGTTTCACACCCTTGCTGACTACCTTAGTCACTCAGCCTGCCGTAATAGAACCCCATAATCTGGATGGCTTAAACCTCAGACATTTCTTTCTCACAGTTCTGGAAGCTGGGAAGCCTGAGATCCAAGTGTCAGCAGATTTGGCACCTGGTAAGGGCCCTTCTCCTGGCTGGAGTCTCCTCACTGCGTCTTCCTGTGACAGACAGAGTTCCGGGCCTCTTTCTCTTCTTACCAGGGCACTGACCCATCTTGAGGGCCCCATCCTCATGACCTCATCTAAACATAATCACCTCCCAAAGGCACTACCTCCTAATTCCATCCCATTGCAGGTTAGGGTTTCAACATATGAATACTGGGGGACACAAACATTCAGTCCGTAGCACCTTTATAAACAAGAGCAGTGGCCTGGACGTTCTCAGGACTGCAGTGCTGGACGGTGCTTCTGTACTCACCGGGATCACAGCCCAGCGTGGCCCAGGGCCCAGCACTCGCATATTAACTGCCCTACTTTCATTCCTAAAGCTCGCTTGCTGCTACTCTTAGTCCCCAAAGCACCTGGATGGCAGTCTCCAGAGCCCCAGGCCCAGGTGGGATTTGGGAGAGCCAGCTCTAGACCTCTCCTTAGTTTCCTATTGTTATTATCTCAGCCTGAAATACAGCCTAAAATCCCCTGGATACCCCTCAGAGTGTGGCTGTGGCTGCCTGTTATCAAGAAATGAGCCCCAAGAGCAGACAATCGATACCCACCCACTTCTCATGTGGCATTTGGAGGAGCTGCAGGTCCAGCTGCACAGGATAAAGGCCAGATGGCTTCCCCCCACCCCCACCCGGCCCCCGGCATGGGAGGAGGAAGCGGCTGTCTCCCTGCAGCTAGCTGTGAGCACCTGTAATTCACAAACTCCCATGTGTCCTGGAAACACCAGCCAATGAGGTCCCCAAGCAACCTGGCAGGCTAGTTTGGGGCACTCAGCCCTGATCAGTTCTTGTGCTGACTCATCCTCTGCAGTTGATGGAGTTAGGGATGTGAGGTTCTGCCTCACCACCCAGGGACAGGGGGCTCTTGTCAGCTCCGTAGACACCTATCTGCGTGTGTTCAGGGATGTGCAGGATCGCTGGCCCCATGGCCACTGAAGAGCTTGCCAGCAACACTCGGATCCTCCCAGGACAGCCTCCAGCCCAGGCAGTCACCAAACTCTGTGGCAAAAATCTCCAGGTCTCAAGGGCCGATGAGGATGCTGCACGCAGCCACTGCCACCTGCCTCTGGCTGGGGATGGCACAGGGAATAGAATGGCAGGCAGGAACACCAGAGCATGGTGGTCCAGAGTGGGCTTCAGGACCCATCAGTCCTGGGTTCAAATATCAGTTAGCAGATGCAGGCAGGTCTGTTACAAGGCAGGTCACCCAAGCTCACCGAGTCTCAGATCCCTCCACTGCAAGATGATGTCAATGGCTCCTCTTTAAAGAATCCCGCTGATGCCGGAATGAGGTAGTATATTCAGCATCTCCACTGGCGTCCGGCCATGATGGGCTCTCAGAAATGGGTGTTAAGACTACCACCATCCTGCCGAGGAGGAGATGGGATCTTTATGCAGGTACGTGCGGCTGAGAGCGGAACACAACCTGAACGAGGGGACAGAGAGCAGGGGCCAGGAGGGACCCTCCGCTGGACACCTCTTGCTGTGTCTCCTCGGTCACACGGCAGTGCAAAGAGGAGAGGTCGCAGACAAGGTGAGGACGCATGTTTGAGCCCCAGTGTTGCTGCTCACCAGCAGAGTGGCCACGGGCAAGGTCCAAGGCCTTGTTTCTCTCCTCTGTACTCGGGGCAGTGGAGTTTTGGTGGAGGTTAAGGGAGGTGACTGGTGTCTATAACGCCTGCAGACAGTTGTGTTCAGCAGTGTTCACTTCTTCCCCACGTAACTGTGGGCCTTCCCCGGGCTGAGGGAGGAGGAGTTGCAGGCTGAGGTGGCCATGATGACAGGAGGAGACAGTGATTCCAGGGTTTCTGCAGCTCTGAAGGGTGGCCCTGCATGAGTGTTGGGGTGTAGAGGGGGATAGCTTGCTCTGTCCCCCCCACACCTGGAACAGGGACACGGGACCCCAGCAACAGTGTCTCCAGCCCGGGCTCCCCGCCGTCCCTCTTCAGGAGACTCAAACACATTCTGGAGGCCAGCGGTGCCCCAGCCCCTCCCAGCTTGCCGGCAGAACAGCCTCTATCCAAGGGGTACGTTCTTTAGCCTTGGATGCCACAGCTGCCCAGAAGACCCCTACACACGGGAAGCCGGGCTGCCCCAGGCCTTGCCCCACCTGTCGCTGGGCCCTGGGCCCTGAGTTCTGAGCCGCAGAGCCTGGGGCACAGCTCGGGTCCTGTGCCCGCTTCCAGGGGCCTCACGGGACTCGCAGAGAGCTTCTCGTCCTGGGGGAGTGTAACCCTGGCCCAGCACGCTGAGCTGAGCTGCCCCCAACAGCCACCCCTTCCCTGAAGGGTCCCACTGGTAGGGCCCTGCCTGCCCAGGGAGCACCCCCTGCTGCCTCCGCCACCCTTACCCTCTCCACCTGCCCCAGGGCCTTTCCTCCACCATTGCAATAGAAAGCAGTCAGTATATAAGAAAAACAGTCTTTCTTCCTTTCAAACCAGCACTGTCTAGAGAGGTGTGCACATGTCTGAATGTGTCTGTGGTCAGAAAACAAAGCACATCCCAAGGACATAAACATAGTTCCTTCTGCAAAGCTTCTGCCCGTGGCCTCTCCAACCTTAAGCCAACCATGTGCCCATCTGCAGTTACCTTTAGGAGGGGGCCCTGTGCTCACCTGCACTAGCTGAAGTCCTTGAGTGTCCTTGCAATTCTCCACGGACCCGACTCCGTAGGCCCCTCTGCTTCTATGTCCATGCCACGCCCAGGGCTCTTGGTGCAAGTATGTGCATGAGTATGCCAGTGTGCACGAGTGTGTGTGCGAGTGTGTGTGTGTGTGTGTGTGTGTGTGTGTGCGCCAGTGTGCACGAGAGTGTGTGCCAGTGTGTGCCAGTGTATGAGTGTGTGTGAGTGTGTGTGCCAGTGTGTGTGCCAGTGTGTGCCAGTGTGTGTGTGAGTGTGTGTGAGTGTGTGTGCCAGTGTGTGCCAGTGTGTGTGAGTGTGCATGAGTGTGTGCCAGTGTGTGAGTGTGTGTGCCAGTGTGTGTGAGTGTGCATGAGTGTGTGCCAGTGTGTGTGCCAGTGTGTGTGCCAGTGTGTGTGCCAGTGTGTGTGAGTGTGCATGAGTGTGTGCCAGTGTGTGTGCCAGCGTGCCTGCGTGTGCAGCATGAGACCAGAGTCTCGGTCTGTCCCATTCGCGGAGGCTGTCAGCATCTAGGACACAGATGCATCAACAGATGCAGTGAGTGAATAACTGAATGAATGAATTCATTGTGGGGACACCATTTTGCAGATGAGCACAGAGAGCTTGGCTGTCACTCAGACTCAGCAATCCTGATTCCCAACGCAGTGTTCTCACGTGTATACAACCACAAGCTACCTCTAGTAATAGAAATGAAAATGTGAAGTGGGCCCCAGACCCCACCTTCTGAGGCCATGTGGCCTTTTGGGCCTCTGCCCCTCACTTTTCAGAGGCTGAGCAGCTGTTGGGGTGAGCCACAGGTCAGGGAGGGACATTTCCCAGGACTTGTCCACTCACTTAGAACGTGGGTGGTCCCAGGCTGGCAGCAGGAAGGGCGAGGGGCTGGTCCTGTGAGGGCTGCAGGCTGCGGGGAAACGGAGCCGTGGGAGGGCTGGAGCCTGGATCCCGGGCCCGTCTGTGGCCAGGGCAAACCCCAGCCTCTCTGAACCTTGGTTTCCCAAGCATTGCAATGATGCCTGCTATGGACTGAACGTGTGTGTCCCCCCCAAATTCTGATGTTGCAATCCTAACCCCCAATATGATGGTGCTAGGAGGGGTGGCCTCTGGGGGTGATTAGGCCATGAGGGTGGAGCCCCCATGAATGGGATTAATGCCCTTATAAAAGGAGCACAGAGTTCTCTCTCTGTCTACTCTGCATGTGAAGTCACATGGAGAAGACGATGTCTGCAAATCAGAGCAGGTCCTCGCCAGACACTGAATACGCCAGCGCCCTGGGCTTGGGCTTCCCGACTTCCAGAACTGTAAGAAATACAAGTCTGCTGTTTAAGCCACCCAGACTGTGGTGCTCTGTTACAGCAGCACAAACTGACTACAGCACAGCCTGACCCCGTTTCCTTGTCCAGGGCTGCTGACCTCTCCTTCTCCCTCCTCCCCACCTCCCAGGGCCTGTAGGGACAGCTCAGAGACTGCCCTGACCCTGGGTCCAGCCCCCTGGCCAGGACTGCCCTGTGCCCACCTCCATGCCCTGGCCGCCAGCCTGGGTGGGGATGGTGGGGAGAAGAAGAGGCTGCCCCGGGCTGCAGCTGTTATTCTCTGAAATCAGAGACCCAGCCTGGGACATTTTATCAGGACTTCTGCTCCCAGATTCGTCTTTCTACACACACCCCTGATCCCTAGGATCTGAAGCTACCTCTTCAGAACTCCCTTTTAAGTCAGTACTCTG